TACAAATGTATATCTATGCACTTTAACATCCGAATACTGTATACTTGAGTGCATTTTGTGCCCATTATAGCACTGCCGTTGGTTGCGCACAGGTCGGGCGATGCCACGCACCGTGCTATCAATGAAGCCGATACACCTGTCGATAGGACTGCCGCGTGCAAGAAGCTTGCTGCACTTAGCGTAGATTAGGTCCACCATGAAGCGAAAGATCAGGCACAGCGCACTGGGCGACCTGCCGAACATCACAGCAAGATCCCCGTACCGTCCAGGGTACGCGAGCCGGCGCAGCAACACACAGAGCCCCTCGACTTTACCAACGCGAAGGCGGCTCGGTAGCTTGTAGTCTTCCTCAAGCCGCAGCGCCTTGTGCAGCCGAATTACGTCACGCTTCAAGAATCGGAAATTAAAACGACAGTCTCCGTCGCTTAATGCGTTGAAATTGAAGCTGCCCTTCAGTGTGAGGACTGGTCGTGGAATAGGAGATCTGGCGAAGAGCACAGCGGCGTCCTCGACGAGAACGAGGTTCAGAGCGGTCGCTGCGAGGACTAAGCTCTCCTCGAGCATCTTGACTGGCTTGTGTGCTTTGCAAATGTAGTATACACCAAGGACGGATAAGAGCTCGCGTTCGCTCTGCAAAATGCTTCGCTGGCAAACCAGCGTGTGCGGCAGTGTGATTAGGGTTGTGTGATTGGCGCTAGTCTACAACTCACACAAGTTCCTGCTGCTAAACCACTCTAGTAATATGTGCGTGGTTTATGGCGTGTTTGCTGATATCATGCAGTATTGCCTCCTTGTTTTTGTTATCAATGCATGTCATCCCAAAGGGCCCGATAAAGGCACTATATACGCTGCATCAGCGACGCCGGCACGGCGTGACATTCTCACCATGGGAACCGCTATTTGTACTTCGGCCAAAAATGTCCACGATTGGCCTTGGGTTTTATTTTACCCGTCACGTAGAGTCCCCAGTATTTAGCAGCTTCCCGATGTATTCTTTGTTAGTGATCGCGATCAAAGGAAAAAATGCGTGCAGTACGTCAAGTATATCCAGGTGTACGACACTCTCATTGTGCAGAGCATATGAAGCGCAGTGTAGTTGCCGAGTGCAGGGCTCACTTTGATGAATTAGTGCTGGAGCTTTCCAAGGGGGTTGGTGCAAGTCGGGTGCAAGCGAGTTTTGACAAGTCAAAAAATAAGAATGAAGATGCCTTCTCGTATCTTAACGATTTTGAGGGATAACAGCATTCTTTCCCGTACCTCGATATGAAATTGTCACCTCAAATGCAGTCGAAACTGTGAACAGCTGCGTTGGGGATCTTGTAAAACCTCACATTTAAAGCTCCTTCTCGACATCACTCGAAATGATATAAAACAAATGCACAAACGGCGCAAAACGTACCCAAAGAATGATCCCAGGACCATAAGCGCTAGCTTGACACAAACACTATCAGCGGCCAAAGCCGCAGGCAGACAATTTCTTGTGGTACCATAATCAGATAGTCACTGTGAAGGCAAATACGAGATGGACTCTTCCGCGTTGTTAATTTTACTGCGAATCATTGCTCATGTGGTCTTTAAGTTGAGCTCCAGTATCCATGTGTACACAGATGCCCTGCCCTTCAGGTGTTAAAACGCTCCGCTCAAGACAGCGTGGCACCGTACTACCGCTACGCATGCAGTGTTTCAGCATTTTCTTACTCCAGTTGACATCAACTCCGCTTAAAAAAATTACATCACACGGCCTCACTAATCTTATCGAAGCGCTGGCCGTCCACGCAACCAGAGTCGCTACTCAGTCGTGGAGTAGGTGCGCTAGACGAATCACCGATTGTTTGCTCCAAATGTGGTCGTAGAGGCCACGACATTCGTAGCTGTGCTCGTCAGCAGACACTTGCCGGAGAATACAGTAATTCGCCTCACATAGGAAAGCGAAAGGGTAGCAACCTATCATTTGATTTTTTACAGATTGTACCGTTTCTCCTGATAGACTTGCAGTAAGGATACACCATGCGTTGTGCACATGCATTGGTTTGCTAGTTAAGCAGCTAAAGCAGTGATTACTTTGTGAAGACCTCATTCCTAAATTCGATTCTTACGAATACGGTTGATTCTTCCATAAGTCGATTTCCTAACGTTTAGACGCTACCATTTATTACTAAGTTCTTTGCTGAAGAACTGCACTGTAGCACCTGCAATATTACCATCTCACTTGGTTTGTATTCGCAAACGCGCTGGACCGAAAGCCAAAGGCTTCATGCGAATCCTGAATAGCATGCGCTTTAACCATAACGAGGCCAGTAGTAGCCAATCGTAGTCCTCGCTGTGGTTTCCTAATGTGAGCTCGGCTCTAATTTTAGGAGCTGGTATTATAATCATCTTCAGCTATTCTGTGCGACCAAATTCGTCCTAAGGTAGATTGTCAATTTGGGGCCTCAAAACAAGCATATGATTCCCAAGCGTGTAGCTTGCAATCCAATGCACAGAAAGGTAGTGACAGTTTTAAAAGGGCCAGAATCTCCGCTTATTAGATGTATCATTAACCAATGAAATTGTGCTGTGGAAACAACATCCGATAAAGATCTTAAAGTTCACTTCTGCCAATTAGATGCCAAAATTAGACCTGAGATCAGTATCGTTTGTGATGTTTACCGACCCATTACGAAATTAGCCAAGCCAAGGTTAGGTCAACCATCCAAAATAATATTTTTACCGTGTGAACACATATGCTAGGTTATTGATTATGTAGAACAAGCTACTTTCGAAAGCGTACAGCAGGCTACACACACGGCGCTCAGATTAATGCATGGGGCTCTGGTTCTCCTGGAGTTCCAAGGTCGTCGCCACCTCCCAGGCGCATCGTCTAGCAGCCCAGGTACACCGGATCGCGATTACCACCCTCGACCGCCACCAAGCTCCCTCCTGCGAGGTACTACAACCCGGCAGAGCGGGCGTAATGCTGTTCAAGCTGGCAGCGCTAATAATTATGTCCTCTCAGTATAATGACGACGGCATGGGTACCAGTAGGCGCACTTAGCGCTAGAGCCAGCTGTTAATCTTTCTAAACCAGAGCAGTCTCAACGATGCCGCTTGTATTCGTCAGATTTTGCTGAGACTTCTTTCGCGTGCTTGCTTCCCTCTTTTCCGCGTTCTTGCTCCAGATGTGACGCTGCTAGTTTAGATTTCTCTTAAAACAGCGTGGGTTAGCAGTCGCCCACCAACAGTAACACGTTTTCGCTTCTTGTTGATGCGGTGCGACTGGGAGCTTCGGCATTTTGTCTTCAACAATTGATCTCATTTGTAGCCATGTGGCAAGTTCGACATGCCGAGGGACCCCGTTACTGGAAACACTTATAAGCCGAGCTCCCATCTTGACCAACTAGAGCAGAAACAAACCGCATGCCTTAAATCCTCTCACAATATAAGAACGTTGCTGCCATCGATTATGTTGCTTCCTGTCACCAGCTCTCTTGTTTTCCCACCAACCAAATCTCAATGCAAAAATGTGTATGGGTTTCGTCGCAAGATACCCCCCCCCCTCTAAAGCTAACGTGACCTCAAATTGACAAAATAGCTTTGAATTGACAGTTTACCTTAATAAACGGAACTCTGTTTTTGGAACGTGAATGTAATAACGTAGGGGTAGGGTAAAGGAAATCGTATAAGTAAAATTTTTGTTCGGTGATAGTAGTATTATTTGTAGACTGATAATTTCATTACTATTAATATTACATATATTCAAAGAAAGCTACTGTACCGGTACAATACTGTACTACTACTGTACATGGATTAGTAGAGTAGACTACTGGCTCGTCTCTGGCAGAAAGACCTTCATTCCTGGCTGTCGCTCATCAAAACACAACGATTAGATTCCAATTTGGACGTCGTACAGAAGTCCCTCAAAGTAAGCGTCACCTACTTACGTAATACCCCGCCATAGCTGCTACGGTACATACAGGTTCAACTGGCCAATCACAAAAATGCACTGATTTTGGATGAACTGCAGGATCGGCGGCATCATTTCCAGACCGGTCCGGCCTCTTCGCTAAGTAAATCATTGAAAGACTGAGAATGGAGATAAAATGTACGAGGTAACTCATGCTCCCGCTACGTACGCCTCCCTCCATGCACACTATCACTCTTCCAAGCGACCACGACCGCCAGCCCCATGCCGCGCCGGACCCGCCTTAATATGGAACAGAAGATCGCCATGTGCAAGAATGCGAAGGATATGCGCACCAAAGGCAAACTGTCCAACACACAGCTCGCAGCGTGGGCAACACGTGCGTTCAAGCTGAAAAATCTGTTTCACGCGATGCCGCTCGCAATGTTATCGCTGGGGAGTCTAAGTGGGCCGCTATGGAGCCCTGTCAGCTAGAGCGCAAGCAGCTCGTCAGCCCCCAAATCCAGGAGACGGACGCTCGCATTATGAAGGTCTTTAAGGCCATGGACGGCAAGGTGGAGGCTATCACAGGCAAGGTGATAAAGGCCAATGGTCTTCGCGTGAACGCGTATGACGAGAACACCACGTTGAAGCTCTCTAAGGGCTGGCTGTATAGACTGCAAGAGCGTCACGGAATCTCCAAGAAGCGGAATCAAGGCATTATTCGTGCCTTAAAGAGTAAGTACAGGGATTTAAAGGTACTTGATTGTGTCGACCACTTTTTAGAAGGGCGGGACCAAGAGAAAGTTGATATCTACACCGCTCTTTGTTGGAGTAAGATGGCCTACGACGAGATCTCGCCCAAAATCATTCAGAACTGCTGGCGGCACGCAGGCATTCTGTCGGACAGGAGCAAGATCGCCTCGCTTCTTAACTAAATATCAGTATATTTAAAACATCTGTTTTATCACCCTCTAAGATCGTTTCTCGGTCCCCCCTACGCTTACTTTGAGGGACTTCTGTACTGTACGACTCGTACATGTAGACAGCGACGGGTCTTGTCTTCTACGTACATGGCATTCTCCAACTAGCGACGTCACAAGCAAGTCGATCCAGCGAGATGGCGTTTCTACTTGAAGGCGAGACAGATGAGACGCTGGCTGCAGCATTTGCGTTTCTGGACGAGCAGCAGAAATTGTCGACATCGCTAAAGGAGCCACTCGAGGACAGCCCTACTCTTCCGTCCTTAGATGACCCAGAAGCTGCCGACGTGCTGGATGATCTGAGTGCAGAGCTCCCTGCAACGGCGGACAAGGCGATCAAGAGCATCAGCTGGACTGCAGCCAACCCCACCCCGAAGCTTCTCTCACAACTTCGCTTTAATCGCCGCCAGGTTGTCCCGTGCTCCACTCCTCAACCTGCAATCTTCGCCGCTCTTACCAAGCCAACGAAGGCACCGAGTCCAACTCAAAAAAAGAAGAAAAAGCCATACGTGCGTAAAAAACCTCTGAGTTACAACCCGAACAAAGCGCGAGATGAGCGCAAATTGGAGCTGGTATACCTCCGCCAGAAAGTGACCGACATGGAGATGGAGCTACTGAAGCTACAGGAAATCAAGGAAGCAAGTCAAACCAAGAGCACATACGCTTCCGAAGCAATATATACTTTCACAGCAAACCCCGACAGCCATTCCACTAATGATGCAGTGCCCCGGGTCTGGGAGAAAATGTGCGCGCGTCAACTACAACGCCGAGTAAAGGCAGAGCGCGAAAATGCTCGTCTGAAAGTGGTATTAGAGGGCCAGATTAAGATCGCCAAGAGCATGGAGCAGATCCTCAAGAAGCGCACCGTTTTGCGTGCTATGGAGTCCTGTGGCAGCAACAAACGCACGAAGCACACGAACCGTCGACCCGAACCTCGTGCCGACGCGAAGATCTTCGAGATCTTGCTTGCTGGTGTCGAGGCCTCGTACCGTGAAGTTGATGCTGTGTTCGAGGCCAATGGTCTTGGCCGCACAGAAGCCCCCAAGAGTGACACTCAAATGCGTGATGGTGTGAACGGCATGTATCTCGAGATATTTGCCAACAAGATGATTCCGTTTGGCATGCATGCTACGGGCCAGGCTGTGTGGCAGCACTTTAAGGGTACGGATATCCCTTACCGCTGGTTTCACTCCAAGTCAGCCGGTTCGATCGAGTCGACAGAAGATACAATGGTTGAATGCTTCGACATGGATATGTATGATGCCAAAAGCAAGACAACAGCCGAGTTCAATGTCAAACAGATCCTCCGTCGTTATGTTGAGGAAGACCGCGTTGTCATCGTCTGGCGCTCGCACATTGATCCACTGGAATTTTCTAACAAACGTTTCGCGGGTATTCATTTCGAGGAGAAAGGCTATGTGGTCATCAAGCCTCGTGCTCACAGCGAAGATAGTAGCGGTGACCACGACGACTTCACACTGCTGCAGACTTGCTACATCATTACCCCCGATCTGTCCGACCAATCACTGAATGATGATGCCAAGACGGGAGCTCTTACCGAATTTGTCATGAGCTCAACGGCTGCCAATATTTCTGCTAGCCACGAGATGATTGAAAACGTCCTGTTGGACCAGGCTTTGCAGCAGCGCAAGCGCCAAGAGTAAAGTGAGACCGTGCTCTTTAATTGTCATCCAGTGTAATGGAAAAGATTGAATGTTACAAAGATCAGAGCCTCTGACTCAGAGGTAGCTTCATATAGTGTGCGTAGTGTGTATAGGTGTTTTCAATACTCGCTGGTTGCGAGTTCTTGCTTGCGGATGTCACATTGAGTCAGCAAACAAAGCATATTGTGTTTTTGAAGCGGTTTATTGAGCAAAGCTTCTCAAGAAAATCCCGAGAATCATGGTTGCATCACCCTAACTTTTGAGGCCTTGTTCCAGCAGCACATTTTGTTGCAATTGCAATACGTTGCGTAGCTTTCCCCCAATTGACCTTATTACCACTTCCTCAACATGAGCAAAATCCAGCGGTAGAACTGACCCTGTGTCTACCCGTTTAACCTGTAGCTGGTAGCAACTGCGAACAACGGAAGCGTGCAATGGGTTACTGAGCGACGGCGAAATGATCGTCCAGTGGTGATCCTCAAATTGAAGCCCCCCTGTTGGTAGAAACCAGGCTGTTGTCCCCACAAGAACGATTTGGTTTCCTTCTTCCAGCCTGTGAACGATATTCACGGCGTCGAGATTTATGACCAATTTTTTTCCATCAGGAAGTGAAGCCACGCAGTTTCTCTCCACCGAGTTGGGATTTCTTGTCCGGACCTGCATTCACACAAAATAACAATGGAGTAAAAAAATTAGTCAGCAACAATTCTGCAATACAAGCACGATGCAGCGTCGTACGAAGCGGAATGACTTCTGAGTATCTTTGTTCTTCTTCGTCATGATATGGTGCCACAGAATTTGTGCCGTTTTCTGCATTGGGCATGCCAAAGGAGTGATCGAAAATGTTTCGGCGCAGTTACGACCAGAATTGAGATGCTTGGTTTGACTACTGCAGGTTATCGAAGGGTTCGCGTCCAAGGCTGGGAGCACGTTGTCCGCTTGCGAGCGCAATCTTCCCAAACTGGCTGACAATTTAGCTAAAATGGCATCACTGAAGTCGAGATGTTGGAGAGATCGGTCAGACGTTGGATGGGCCTTGAATACAACGTCCACCCCCTGCAATCAACACAACGGTTGATGCTACGCTAAGGTTCTGGTAGATCAGTATAGAAAACCAGGTAGCCGCCGGCCACACACATCTTACCTGTAGCACATCGCTCCGTCCGAGTATCTTGCTGATGGAAGCATGCACTTTGACCTGATTTGCCATGACTACCTTCAGTTTTCGATTGGTACGCTCTGCACGTTCACGCCCTTCGCTCTCGATCATAGCAAAACTCCGCCATACATTGGGGTTATGATCATGTGGAGTGATTGCTGGTACCATGTGACTGAGGCGAGAAAGCATCAGCTCCTCCAACTGAGCGTTAAGCTGCTGCGCTTCCTCCCTTAGAGCTTTCAGCTCTAATTTCTTGTGACGCTGTAGGCTTGTAGTGTACCTCACAGGACCCTCTTTCCGTCTGCGGTCCTTCTTCGTCTTCAGTTGCCGTTGTCGGCGGGAAGCACTTGGAGCAGCATCATTGCCAAGTTCATTTACAAAGTCAAGCGATGTGGCAGAGCTGGAATCACATTCGATGCTGTCTATGGTGTCAAGGAGCGTAAGCACTTCAGACACGTCCATTTCAAAGGAATGATAGTTGTCGATGTACGAGAAGGCAAGATCCACCAAGACGGGTATAGCGGTGTGGGAAATAGCTTATTCCGAGTAAGACTGAGTCACTCCTGTGGACCACGAAATGATTATGCAGTTGACAAGATGACGGACCTGACACCAGTTCACTGAACTGAGTTCAGTAGTACAGAGTGTTCAGTAGTATAGAGTTTGAGTATGCCGTGATATCTGCATACAGTACCACAATAACACTGTACTCCCAAATTCCTAAATAAATAAATTTGTGCAGCAAAGCAAAGTACGTACAGTGTACATGTGCAAGTCACCCAAATACAGGTTCATGTACTGTATTACAGTAGTATTAATTGTCTTACTCGATCTCGTCGTAGGACGGTGCGCTAGACGTGATGGCCTTGGAGTGGTGATGAGGTGAGAACATCTCGGACTCCTCTTTCTCGATTTCCTCACCCGAGAGAACCTCTTCGTAATCCCTTTTGAGATAGGCAAACGCAGACAGGAAGATAAGAGCAAGCGGCACACCCAGATCGGTAGCGGTCCACATTACACGAGCACCGTAGTGCTGGTAGAAGAATCCGCCGACCATCGTGCCCACAGCACGAGCCAAGCCGTTCTGCGTTGCGTTCAAAAGCCCCATGACCGTTCCTTCGCAGCCTTTGGGGGCAGCCGCGTAGATGTACTGCGTGCAGGCAGCCCAGGCCAGGCTAAATGTGCAGCCGTGCAGGAACTCGAACGGGATGGCGCTCCAAGCGTTCGTCATGACGGCGTAGTACGTGACACGAAGAGCGTAGGCCGCAATAGATACAAGCAACACCTTCACCGTGCCGAATTTCTGGATAATGGCGTGCGAGAAGAAAAAAGCAGGAAGCTCCGACAGAGTTTCGCACATGATTGCAATCCCCACAATCTGGGCATTGCCACCCGACAAGTTGAACAGGTTGAGCGCCAAAAAGCTCGAAAGCACACCGTACATGAGACCCATAAAGAACACCACGAGAAGCAGCATTATAACGTCCTTCTTCTCGCAGATGCGGCGCATGTTATCGGCAAACGACGGCTGACGAGCGTTCTTTCCACCCTCCTCCACCGCCGAGTGCGTGTCATCGTGGTGTCCGTGCTTGACGGGCGGAATCGTGCGCAGCACGAGCAGCGAGACAAACATGAAGATGATGCTGATGTTGAATGCCCACGAAATACCCGCTGCAGCGACAGCCAGGCCCGTGATGTACGCGCCTGCGCCCCATCCGACGGCGCCGAAGAGTCTCTGCTTGCCATACTCGCCTCCAACCTTGTGAATCATGTCCAACACAGCGTGGTCCATGAGGGAACCCGGCGGGCATCGACTGGAAGTTGGCCAGCATCAATACTGCGAGCGTCCAGTGGTACGACCAGTAGAAATATTGAATGCAGAACATGAGCAAACCGCCCGTGATGATGCAGAAGTAGTGCACCGCGCGCTGGTTGCGAATGTAGTCAGCCACTGCGCCCCAAATCGGCGGTGACACCATCGCGCAAATGCACGGCAGCGTCTGCAGCACACCGATCTGCAGCTTAGAGAAACCAGCATTCTGTTGGTAGTACACGGCCAAGAAAATGGCGACTGAAGACTGTTGCACGTTGGCAATCGCGTACATGAGCTTGGGCTGCCACAGGCAATTTTCGTACCACTTAGCCGGCGCGGAGGAAAGCGTCTCCTTCTGCTCATGCGCACACATACTGCTTTGTGATATTCGCGTACGTCACGTACGACTTGTTCGTCGTATCTCTAGAGCGTGGCAAATTGACGAGTGGCCTCGATCACTGCACTGAAACGCTCACGAATCAAATTACGAGGATGGGAAAAGCTCAACTTCATCCACTTGCTGTTGGAGTTGCTCGACAAAATGCATCCACGCAGCATTGGGACGTTTCGTGACACCCCCTCCATTAAATGACAAAACATCGGTTAAAATTAGGTTTCAGGACAGGTGGCATGTTACTTGCCTCGTCTATGCGGAGAGTATGGAAGTAACCAGCTCATGTTTTTAAACCACGGAATTATATCGTAGACTATTAAAAGCAAATCGTTCTGCATGTTGTTACAGAGGCATGCGCGTGATTCATCTCCTGCAAGTCCATTCATTTATAAAGGTTTATTATTCACAAATACAAACATTGTCGTTTTAATATTCAAATTCAATACGATGAATTTCATCGTATTGAATCTCGTCCTGCTTCATCATGAAGCGGTCGCATAACGAGAGGACCCTTGGAATCTTTAACTCGTATGACAGGTCGAGAAGAAGTAGGGAGAGGAAGAAGACGTTACTTGTAGGCGTCAAAAGACGAAGTGAGTACTTTATTAGTATTAGGAAGCCACCAATAGCTGTACACCACTAGATAACAGTCTCAAAAAGTGTGTCTTAGCGTATGGTGCTTGATTTCGCATAAAATCTAATTTTATGCGAATTCCATGCCTTATTCCGGAAAACATGATTCTTGGAAAAGCACATGCTTGTTTTTTTGCATTTACCCTGCTGTTTTTAGTATTTTCGCATCTCATGCTACTTCTGGTATAAGTACGATCCTATGAAATACAGTTGGCTACATTTGTGACCCAAAAATTAAATTATGGAGGCTTCTACCCAAGAGTCGGTCTATTTCAACGACACCTGGGTTCTGCCTATACCTTAGTTATGAATTACTCTTTGTTATCAATACCGGTACACTATTGTACTGGCGAGATGAAATGCACCACCATTTTTTTGTTTTGCTCATAAATACAAAAGTAATTATCGGATTAATGCCGGCAGACCCGCAATGGAAACAGGGTAGCACAGAGATCACAGACAAACACACGTTGTTTGACTTTCTTGTCTTTTATTAAAATGGTGGAAGCTCAAACGTCTGCGGGAAATTGATGCTGATCATGCATGCACAGAACATTTCTTGCGATATTTAATAAACAAAGAAGCCTAAAGTGACAAGCTTTACGCCAGAATGCAGCTTGGAATGCAACGCATCTGCAGAAGTTGGTTTTAGCTACAGGAGCAGCGTAGGGATTGCTGCATGCAGTGTTAAACGCATCGCCGACAGCCCCACTTCCTAGGATCAAATGTGCATAGAAATGAGTAAAAAGGGCATTGTTGATTGTAATACTAAAGTTTGTAAGGACCAAAACATCTGATGCCGTATGTCAAGAACATAGCCTCGATTTTTTGGGCGGAACGAAAGACACGCACTTTTCGATTAAGTGTAGCATGTGAATTTGAGCAGATATTCAAGGATGATTATGAGAAGAAATCATTATCTTTCCAACAAAAAAAAGCTCATATAAATTGGGTAATTGGGTGAGAAGTTGTGAAGGGGCAATGTTTGGTGTTGCATTTCATCTCGCCAGTACAATATCAGGTACTCTACAAGTGCAAATACAGCAGCGAGACACTTCATCTTCCTCACTTTCCAACTTGCCAATGAGGTTGGAGGTCTCGTCCTCCCACTGTCGGTTGAGGCGGTCGAACACTTGGCTGGCTGTACTGGGCATCTTGGAAATTGACAAGTGAATCTGAGCTTCCTCTCTGTGCTTTGACTTTTTTCCAAATTAAATGGCCAGGATTTCGCGAAAACCAGATATATTATAGATAATACGATGTCGCACTAGCTTCAGATACATATTTTTGCCAATGATACCACGCTGGTATGTATACTTGAATATTACAGCTGCAGCCTAGTTATATTAAAAGTGATTGAGCTATATGCGAAAATATCGCAGCTTAGAATTATTAAGGCGTTTTAAATTTGAAACTGTATTGTTTGCGCCAGATAGCGTTGTATCGTGAGCAAATACTGCTATATAAGGTACATGCACATAACTGACGAAAAATTCACTTTTTTAGCCTGTGGCCTTTGACTTTTTTCCAAATTAAATGGCCAGGATTTCGCGAAAACCAGATATATTATAGATAATACGATGTCGCACTAGCTTCAGATACATATTTTTGCCAATGATACCACGCTGGTATGTATACTTGAATATTACAGCTGCAGCCTAGTTATATTAAAAGTGATTGAGCTATATGCGAAAATATCGCAGCTTAGAATTATTAAGGCGTTTTAAATTTGAAACTGTATTGTTTGCGCCAGATAGCGTTGTATCGTGAGCAAATACTGCTATATAAGGTACATGCACATAACTGACGAAAAATTCACTTTTTTAGCCTGTGGCCTACTGTATAGTTTAAGCCAGTCATACCGACTTAAACAGGACCTCCTAAATCTCATTATAATATTTTGGAGTGACTAGGTCAAGGTAATCAAACTGTTTAGAGGCTACTTCAAATCTAGCTTTTCAAAAGGCTTTTTACCAGGCCGTATAAAAATTGAAAGACCGTGAAAATCAAATAGAAAGCCACTTATTGCCACCACCACCGTGCGTCATAGACCCCTTGATGACGATTTAGTGGCATCAACCTCTTGCTACCTTGACCCTTTGAAACCCGACTTTATGATCATGGGGATTGACTTGTTTGAGTTGAGTACGTCATGCATCCGAGTCGACGAACATGGTTACAAGTTCCATGGATTAAAGCACAATTGCTAAGCACATGCAGCCGAGGCTCTCATGGGCTCATTAAAGAGGTCTTATTTGGAGCTGCAGCGAATGATATTATTTTTATCAAGCTATGGGCGGCGTTCAGTATTTCATTAAATCGTCACGTTTACCTTGCTGATGAGCGCATCTTCAACTTTATGATTGAATCGCATCAGCGAGTCGTGAAAAGCTTTGAGACCTTCTGGAGAGATGCAACTGCGTGTCTTATACGAAGGAAACGTTGCCAGTACATGCGTTTTAATGATCGCAGTTGGAGCTCCACGTTTATCTTTTTCATGTTGCACAGTACGCCGTACAACTTCCTCGTATGATACCCCGGCGCCGAATGCAGAGCTGACGATAGATGCTTCATGAACCACGAAATATGTCCGGTCGCCTTTCACGTACTTGCGGCATCCCTTGCGAATGAGAAAACAAAGTTCATACGGACCAGTCCCGATAAATGTACGTATACTCTGCAAAGTGGTAGTTCTGTCAAACTCAAACAACTGCATCCACAACTGCATGTTAAAGATTGCGTAAGTCATATAGTTCTCACCAACTTCGCGTACCTCGTTGTAAGCCACTCGGCTGTTCTCGTCGTTTCTCTCTCTCCCAGTCAAAACCTTCCAAATAGCTTGCTCCGTCGCTCCCACGCTAAACGGAACAGCATACGTATTCACAAGTTGCACCTGCAGCCCACGAGCGTGATGAATCGACACGTGGCCTTTATCTTTCTCTTCGCTAGCATTCTCTGTTACGAATATACTGCCGACATCCTTGCAATATCCGTCCATAGCACTCAATATCTTCTGAAACACCACATTATTATCCTGTGGGGGGCGGACATCATCCTCAGAAAATGCTGGAAGGCATCCGAGCACTTGAGCCACAGCGGCATTGGTCATTTGTTGCGTTATCATCCGGTGCAACTTCCGAGCATACTTCACCTGCATATGCAAGACCCTGCGCAGTTGTTCATTGTCGATATTCGCCATTTGGCGGGCCAATGATTCGCGAGAAGCGGCATCTTGCCACGACTGACCCAGTAGCCTTTTCACAACCGGTATCGGTCTATTATCTCCCTTCGCAGGCACGGTCGAGGCCATCGGTAGCGCGTCGGCCGTCATGTCCACATCCTCAAGCGCGTCTAGAAAATCCAATAGTGTGGGCGTTGTATTGCCCAGCACCTGCTCGAACGTGTTGGGCGCGTTGAGCTCGTCCATCAGCGAGGCCAGTGAAGTTATGATAACTTATTACAAATTTCGCACCACTGGAAATTCCAGGTTTATATTGCAATAAGTAAATAGCTCTTGTGTTTTCGTACTTGATTGAGCTTACTATGGATATTACCGGTAATACTGTACACTGTAAGTTTGTAACAACAGGTTTGATAGTTTGCCTAAGGACTCTATTCGGGAGAGGCTTGTATTTAATAGTGCAGACATGTAGCACCCCACAGGACACTATTCGGAAGGGGGCTTTTATTCGGACGCATCCGTTAATAACAATTTTAAATAATTCTATCCGCATGTTTTTATCCTTTTTTTTTTTACTATAGCAGAGCATATGGAGAATACCGTGTAGTCGTCGCGATCTTACCTTTAAAATTTCCCAATCAATATCGATATAGCAACACGCTACATATAATACCTGGTACTAGTGTGTGTATGTGACGGGGTCACACAGCATCTTGCGCTAGAAGAAGTTGAATTCTCAGAGATTTATAAAAAACCTCTCTCCGGGAAAGGCCGGCTCCACAGGCCCCGTTTTGCCCTGTGAAACCACTTTTAAAGTAAGTTGGTAGCTCAAATATATTTAAAGGTAGCTGAGCCTGGACTAATATACACACGCATAGTCGCTTTAGAAAGCATGTCATCAGCCAATGATTGGCCTCGGACGACCCTGGTACCATGTACCAGATATCCCGAAGTATGACGTGTCATACTTCATGGTACTAGGGGTACACTTGGGGCTACGTACCCCGTTACACCCCCCCCACTTAGGTTCGGTTTATCGACCAATCAGAATGGGATAGTGTACGTCACAAACTATCATTCTCAAAGTCGAAATACATCGACTTGGCTGCGCAAGCGTGGCGGAGGCTCACTTTACAGTTAAAGCCTCGAGCAGCGGCTGAGTGCTCTTCTTCTCGGTCTCCACATCGACCTTTGTCATGCCCCGTGGCACTGCGAATAGTGGTGCGAGGACACGCTTCAAGGATGCTGCTGGAAAGGCGCAAGCCAAGAGCGCTAAGCCTCACAGAAAAGGCTCTGCACTTCAAAAGGCTACTAATGTGGCCTCCGAGGCGATCGGCTCAACTGGTGACGCGACTGTGAGCAAGCGTGCGGGAAAGCGCCGCAGTCCGTCACCTTTGGTCTCTCCAGACAGCCGTCCGAGCCCACGGATCGCTGAACGTATGTTCGACTCGGGTAGTGAGGGCGTGCCGAGAACGGGAGCACTCACAATGCTCCTGTGGACGCCGTGGGAGGGAACATTCCAGTGCCCAGCGAGCACAATAACGACAGCGTACAGTCGCTCGCTAGTGGTCACGGTGATCACAGTCCCAGGACGTCTGTTCGCTCTAAGAGTCCTGCCGTCAAAGCTAAGGGCACTCCCAAAGCTGGCGACGACAAGAAGGAGAAACCTCACAAACATCTCTCGCTTGCCGAGGATCTTGCACGTACTAAGGCCACCAAAGCCGAAGACGTAGGCCCTCTAAGAAGCGTACGGCTTCGAAGTCTCCACTCCGCGAGGAGAAGGAGAAGGAGACTGGGTACATCTATCGGAACCACTTCGGTTCCTCGGATGAAGAGAGCAAGGATGGGGAGGTGGAGGAGGAGAAGGGTGCTATCCTTGAGCCCCAGGAGATCACTAACGATCTCAGCCAGCAGCAGGAGTACTTTCAAGCTGCCCAGCGCACGCGTGGGGGTCCGGTGGTGGCACCCGTCAGCCAGGATGCTGCCATCAACTCAAGAGGTTATTGGCCTCCTGAGGAGAGCTCTGGGACTGACCTCTTCCTGGAGATTCTCGTCGCTTCTCGTGGCCTTGTTGGTGGCCACGCTTTTAAGGGCGTTTACGAACGTACCCTGGTCCAGAAGGAGCAGTTGTTCGTCGACAACTTGGAGGCGGTCCGGTGCGTGCTTCTCGCGCCGCACCAAATCCCTCTGAAGGATTTCATGCCTTGTCGTAAGAAGCCCGAGAACCGGGGTGGTATCTACCCTCTCTGGGGCTACCCCTAGGTTCTTCCCGAGAAGTGTCCCAGCTAGAACTCGTGTGAGGACGTGATCTGGGCCTGGGTGGAGTCTCTCAAGTACTCACCCTCGGAGTTACGGGAACTCCATGAAGATCAGCTGCTGTCCCGCATCCTCGACCAGCGTGATCTTCGTGTCCGGTTCGCCCACTTGGTCAGCAAGCGCATGCTACCAAGGGAAATTCTGAAGCGCGCGGCTTCTAGCGCTCTCGATGAGAGCGGGTACGGAGTGTCGTCAACGTCCGTACTCCGTTTGGGCAAAATTCCCCGGGTTACTTATGAATCTGCCGCCGCGTCTGTTTTTTCAAATTGCGACAGCCTTCGGCAGTCTGTCAATCGGCTCCCACAAGCTCTCGGAGTGGGTATAACCCCTCCACTTCACGAGAAGCTGTCGCTTACCGTGACGCCGTTGCCCCTGGAGAATCCGCTTTACGTGGTAGTGGACTTCTCCGTTCCAGTCAAGCAGGGGCGGAGGTGCCCTCGTACGAGTACGAGTACTCGGCGCCTCCGGAACGCTACTCTCATCCGAGTGCTTCTCCTGCGGGTCCGACGCAGGGCCCTGAGGTCGATCGCCTTCGTCAACGCGTCCTCGTGCTTGCGATTGCAGTTGGCCTTGGGACTGTCGGCGATGCCGCCACCCAGGCCGGGAATCAGGGCGTGCTCGCTCGTCTTGCGGGCCGCCTGGACCTGGTGGAGCGTGAGGTCTCGAGCCTGCATCTGTGGTGGACCGGCGAGCCTCTTTGTCCGATCTTGACGAGGCTTTTCGTAGGATCCGACATATCGAGGCTCTGCTGCCGCATTCGGCGCATTCCCAGTCGTACGCGTATGGGGCGTACCCGACGTACTCGGCGTATGGCTCCGGGGTCCGTTCGTACGGGACCCTCCGGCGTACGGTCTCGACCGCAGTCTTGCTGTTCAGCCCGAGGCTTGGGTCCCTGCTCCGACGCCCTCGTCGACGTTTGTGGCCGGCCCTCGCTTCAAGGAGCTGGGCCAAGGTGGGTCTGCGAGTCCGCAACCCCCTGCACCACCTAAGACGTCCAACGTAGAACGTCGGGTGCGTTGTCATTGACTTGGGCAGGTCGATGGTGTACGACGCACCATGCCTGGCTAGGACTGCGAACGGTCCAATGAAGCGGTGCTTCAGCTTGTTGCTACCGACAGAGCTTACAGTGTCTAGCGGTAGGCTCCTCGTGTATAATAAGACTAATTCACCCACTTTAAATACACTTTAGTTGCCTCATCCATGTTTGTCAGAGTACTCCTTCTGTTTTGTCCTGGGCCGCTGTCATGGAATCGCAGACCCTGCTGACAATGCTCAGTTTGGCATCCATAAAGGATTCCACTTGTTTCCGCAGCGAAACTGGTCTCACATCCGAGACCTGGAAGGAAAGGGCTTTCCGAGCCTCCCCCCACTTAGAATAGAGGAGTCAGTGTCTCCTCGAAGAGTGAGAGGCACTCTGGGGTGACGGAAGCCGTTCAAGTAGAACAGCGTGAACCCGTGGACGCGTGCATCGCGTTGCTGAGAGCAAACTCAACAACTAGAAGCTGCGTTGACCACGTACAAGGTGCTTCCGCGCACACACTGCGCAGAGTGTCCTCGAGCACTCGATTGACGCGCCCTGTCTGGCCGTCTGTGTGTGGATGGTCCACAGTGGATACCTGCAGACGAGCTCCCAGTAAAGGAAACAGCGTTTGCCAAAACGCAGCCGTGAACGGCGGGTCTCGGTCCGAGACAATCGTCTCCGGGAGACCGAGATAGCAGAACACGCCATCGACGAAAAACCTCGCGGTTTGTGCGCCTGGGATGGTAACGGGTACTGGAGCAAGATGGTACATCTGGCCCAGCTGACACACGAGCAACAAAATCCCGGTGCTGCCGTGCCCGTCGCCGGGAAGCCCAACGATGAAGTCAAGACTCATCGACTTCCAGCAGTCAGCCGGAACGGGCAGGCTCTGTAGCGGAGCCAAAGCGTGCCCTGCGGGTTTAGCCCGCTGACATGTTTTACATGTTCTTACGTACCGTGCGCCCCACTTGTACGTGTGGGCCCACCAGAAGGCCTGCGAGACTGACAGGAAGGTCTTTCTCGCGACCCAAGTGGCCGCTGAAGGACGCATCGTGCGCCTCCGCGAGGAGGTCGAGCTTCAGACCCTCGTCGTTGGGTACGACCACCTGTGGAGGATCAGTGGGCCCCACCCGGTAATAGAGGAGTCTATCCTTCAGCTCATATCGGTGGAGCCGTGAGCGCTGTTGCGACGAGAGCCAGTCGGACTTCGCGCTCGTTTCTGCCATAAGGAACTTGACGATAGGCGCGACAGCCTCATCGTCCCGATACGCCATGCGTATCCGATCGTATAGATCCGTTATCACCCGCGTGATGTGGGCCAACTCATAACCAGGACGCCGAGAGAGGGCGTCTGCAAGCACGTTGAGCTTGCCCGGCTTGGAAGTTGTACTCCGTGGAGAAGGGCAGCCACCTCGCCATCCGCTGAGAGAGGCGAGGCGAATTTGTCGCCGTCCTCAAGGATGCGTGGTCTGTGTAGATCACAAAGGGCCGTGAGCCCAGAAGATGAGCCTGAAACTTCACAAGGGTATATATTTCATTACCAGAAGTTCCTTGTCGTGGGCAGGGTAGTTCTGTTCGGCGGCTTTGAGCTGCCTGGACTGGAACGAGATGACCCGCTCGTGTCCAGCCGTGTCGGCCTGCAGCAATGCACATCCGATGGCGTAATCGGAGGCATCGCAGACGACGCTAAACGGCTTCGTCTCGTCCGGCAGGGCCAGGACAGGGGCCTCTAGGAGACTGGCCTTGATGCTGTCAAAAGCATCCTGGTGCTCTTGCTCCCAGCGCCAGTCAACATCCTTCTCAAGGAGGCTCGACAAGGGCTTAGCGAAGCCTGCGTACCCTGCGCTGTACCTGTGAAGGTAGTTGGCCAGGCCCAACCACTTTCGAAGATCCTTCTGGGATCGGGGCG